CAGCAGCAGCAAGAGAGCACAATTATTAGTGCATGACATCTTCCACGAAAAGCAGGCAAATTTTGCAATAATCCTTTGGATCCAGGTAACACTACCAGGTCATGAACAAATTTGGCTCGAAGGCCAGGGTCACAAAGTTCTTGGAGGGTGATTAAACATTAGCAAGAGGAATAATGCAAGAACCAATTCCTAAATGCACAAAGTGTGGAATGTACCATCCATGAGCTATGATTGGAAGAGCACAGGTTTCGGGTGGATACCATTTCTATACTTAGAATCCTATTCCTGCCTCCCACCCCCACCAAGTGATAGGTGGCGCAAGGTGTATTACAGATAATTGAATATTCCTCCTCCCCCCTACAAAAGAAAAAATAAATAAAAATGTTACTTATTATTATCATTGCACAGTGTTATGGAGTGCAAGGAAAACATTCCACAACCATCTCCATACAGCATATCAATTTTGGGTCACATGTGGGCAGTGAAGCAACCGGATCCAATGGCTTAATACCTCCACTTTTATGCAAACATCCTAGTTTCCCCATCTTCCATCAGACAATGCAACCAAGTCAGCCATGACATGAACTATACTTCATATGGAGGCAATGGGTTAAGCTTTAACTATGATTTCCCTTTTAACTACAGAAGGCTACCAACTATCATTACTTAAGGGGGCCGTTACACTGAATTTGACATTTTCAAAAATACTCAAAAAATGGGGGGAAAAAAAAAAATCTCCTGTAATCTAGTTGGCTTTGGCAATCTCATGACATAATATTTCTGCTGAATACATAAAAAATAAAGGAATTATGACAATATCTGACCCCTCCCCCCTCAGATATTTACTTTGTTGCTTCCGTGCAAATATACTCGACAAATTTGTTTTTTGGGGAGATTTTTTTTTTTTAGATTTGTTTTGGTATTCACTGGTATCTAGCTGGTAATTCTGCTTCCTGAATCGACTGATAGCCATGACTAAGAGACATGGCAGGCAGTCCCTACAAGAGTCAAAGGGAGAGGCTGCCCTCTGCAACACCATCCCATAGACATACCCCTGAGGACACTATTTCTTATGGGAATAACATCTATCATTATTAAACATAATATGATGGAAAATACATCTCGATCACAGCTGCAGCAGTTGTTTATTTGTATGAAATGCCTCACAAGGTACTGTGAAGCCTGTGATGACACAGAACTTCTACAATTATGTGCAGTTATTGCCATTATTACTTTGCAAAAGGGGGGGTACCAGCTACACTTCAGAATACCATGTCAATGCCATAGAATGCATCAAGATTTTTTTTTTTTTTTTTAATAACTTCATATCATTTGAATAATAAAACAATGATGTAAATCATAATACATGTAAATACAACATTAAAAAATCACGAAAATCTAATCATAATTAACGAGTTTTGTTCTCGAGTGCGACGGCCCCCTTAAAAGATTATATACAAGTCTCTTACAAATATGTAATGCCTTTACTTCTGTGTACCTGCATTTAATATGAATCTTTGGTCAACATGAATTCCATCACAGGATTTAGAGAATATTTTTTAAAGAACTTTACTTAGTAGATTCTGATTGTCGTATGCATAACCAGTCACAGAATATACAACAGCTCTTCATTTACATTCAAAAAGAACACCTCTTCAATCATTGTTGAAATGTAATAAAACAAATTTCATTTTATCTGTTTACCCTTCAAATCAAACCAAGTAGAACAAGTATATGCAATTTTAAATACAAGCAAAAGTTTAATTACAAATTCTTTAATAACTGCTCTAAAATTCAATTCAGCTTATCACTAACTTGAAACTAAAACCATGCTTGTAAAACTTTGTCAACTGGATTGGAATGTGAAAATACACAAGTGGAAACTCTCCTCAACTTGTGTACAGAAAGCCATTCTACTGTATAAAAATCATAATACTAGATTTAGCTTTGAGAAAAACACCTGCTTTCACTGAGCTGCTAACTGGTTGAGATACACATTTCAACCAATTAACAGTTGAAGTGTCCAATAAATAGCCAAGCACTGTAATACAAGTTAAGCTCTTTCATAATAGCATCCTCTTTCAAGCAGCAGCATCTGTAGATTCCCTATCTATCTAGCATTATATTAGCTTTGGTGTGTTGACTGCAGAAGCTTGCTTACTAACAGAAGGGGCAGCACTTACATCCACCTGCTTGAGTCTAGCCATCAATTTTTCCTCTGTGCTTGTTAAGGCCTCCAGGACTTTGTGGTTCTTTTCTCGTAACTCCTACAGGGCAAGGATTAACATATACTATTAGACTTCACTGGATCTCACATTGGGCCAAACATATTTAATGAAAGCTAGCAGCATTGAGATACCTCTACACTTTCAATATTATTCATCATGTAATATACTTTCATAATCATTAACAAAGGCATCCAAGCCCCAAAATGTATAGAACAATGGAATGGAAATTCTAAATAAGTAGACATATGTGGGTATACATAAAGAAGTAAAGTGGACACACAAAGCTAATTGGTGAAAGCCACGTCAGGCTACAAAAAATTTAGTACAGTGCTGGCATCCCTCAACCAGTTTGTCCTGGGTTATTTCACCAGGATTTAAGTCATTCCTTTATATCAAGGCTTCTATATGCTCCCTCAACTTGTGACAGGATAGTATGGACACCGGTCATATCTTCAGAGATCTCTTCTTTGGGTCTTTCTATTGTCTGAACTTACATTCATGTGTAACCAATTATATTTCAGGTCTTTGCATCCATTTTACTCCAGGAAAAAAGGGTAACTTCATTCTAACATGATGTATGCTATACATGAAAATTGTAATTCCTCATCCCCTTAGTCTTGAATGCTCATTTCCAATCTGAAGAGGTTAAGAAGGATACCAGCATTGCCCAGACAAAGCCCAGACACTAATGCAAAACATGCATATCAGCCTAGTGTGTTTGAAGGATCAGTTTCAAGAGGCACAGGCAAGGGTAACAACACTAAAGGTAGTGGGAAAGGTTTGCATATTACACTACTTTCAAGAAGAGGTACTCTTATTTCTCCCCATTTATTACATGAAATGGCATTCAAGGATCAAGGATCATTCATGAATTAAGGATTGCCCCTACCTTTAGAATTAGGGCATAGACTCAAGCAACTTTCAGGCTCACATTCCCAGCAGAAAATGGAAGGTAACAGACACGAGTGTTACAGTATACGAGGACTGCAACATCTTTTCCAAAGGCATAATATCAGAGCAACATGCTAATCTGTTCTACTATACAAGATCAAACATTTGGAAGTACTAAAGGAATAATACTAAAATCAATATTGTAAGGAATACTAATGCTGTGTATCCAAACAAACAAAACTATAAAAATCTAACAGATCCAAAGACTCAGATACCACAATACGTAATATATAATAAAAATGTGTACATACTACACTGAAAAGTGTATTATGATGAGACATAACTGAAGTTTTATAATCACAGCCATGCAAGTCCATCAGGATAATGGTCATAAACAAGTGCAGTTTCAGAGAACAATTTAAAACAATACTCACATTGTTCTTTGCTTTCTGATTATCCAGTTCTTCTTTTAATCTTGCAATCTCTTTCTTCAGGTTTGATACCTCACTTATTTGTTGTTCTATTTGGATCTCTCTTTCCTTAACTCTGTAAAATCCATAAACCTTAGCATTCTTTGTTTTACTTGGTTAATAATGGTTAAAATCAAAAAAGCAAAACTAGTAACTATAAATAATGAACATCAATTACTATTCATACTACTAAGCCTTTTCAATATCATGGAGGGGAAAAAAAATAATAAATTAGGGTCTCACAATGATTCTAAGTGGGCGGTGGATGGGCCTTGGGTTTGCTCTGCATGAACATCACCATTTTCTTGACCCTCAGCTGCTGGACGGACACTCTGAGATGCCAAAGACTCCTTTTCCTCTTTTAAGCGTTCAATCTATAGATTGAAAAAAAAAATTAATAGCACAGTCCTTTATATAAGTTTCCTAATGCTTATCAAATACTAAATACACTGACAAATCTCTAAGGTCCTGACTTATTTAGCAGCAAGTAATATACAAAAGATGTAACACGTGAACTTACTTCTGCAGTCTGGTCTAACACCACCTGTCGTACACTACAAAGTTCACCCTCTATTTGGGCTAATCGTGACTCCACTTTTGTTTTCTCCTGTACCGCTTCCTATAAGCAAAATTGTTGCAATACTTTAATTGAAAATAAAAAATAAAATCAATGTTTTGCCCATTATTAACACTAACATTTTTATGAATCAACTACAAACGAGGAAATTAACTTTCATAAAATCACTGACATACCTGAAGTTTGTGCTGTGTTTGTGCAGTTTTTGAGGTTTCATTTGCTAGTTGCACAGTAAGGGCATCTCGCTCAGCACTCGCAGCAGATGCCTCTGCCAAGGCTTGGGCTCTCTGGGCATCAGCACTTGCAAGCTGTGCCTGCAGCTCTGTGATTTGTGTATTTCTACTGGCATTTTCACCTGCTCTCTTTTCATCAAGAGCGGCAATGTGCTCTTCATACTGCTGACATCTCCTTGTTAATTCTTCATGCTCTTGTCTCAGCACAGCTGTTTGCATTTCTGACTCACTGAGGGAAGCTCGTAGTGTTGCAATTTCCGATTCATTGTTCGTGCTCTGCAACTGCTGTAAAATCTTTTGCTGTTGTTGCATTTTAGCCTGGTATTCCTTCTCTAGAGCAGCCTTCATTTCATTCAGACGTGCATTCTGGGATGTCTGGGCATTTGCATTTGCAGTTTCAAGCTCACGTGAATGATTTGCTACAGTGTCATCCAACTGAGCTTTCAGTTTCACTGCCCGAGAACGCTCACAATTCAGCTCCGTACGGAGAGCAGTAATCTTGGCTGACAGTGCAGAGTGAGCTTCATCCTTCTCCCTCAAGCGGGTTTCCACTTCCTCCAACTGTCGTCGAAGCTGAGTTGTGGGATCGACACGTCCCTTCTCAACCCATTCACCACCAGCATTGTTCTGCTGCTGCTTGTTCAGCAGAATGTCAATCAAAGTTTGAATCTCTCCACTGCTCAGGTGAGCATCTTGCACAAGGGGTAGAATTCTGCTTTCTTTTGGAGCTGAAACAGAATATGGAACAAAGATAAAATAAACACCTCTTTAATGTAAAAAAAAATAAATAAATAAATCGCTTCTATAGATACTGCCATTTTCATTTTCATTTTCACTTCCACTAATTACACATTGTTCTGATCATTAACCCCTTGGATCCAGGTCGTGACCGTCCTGTCACGGAAAAATTTGAGTCGAGGGCTGGTTGATGTGAACTTGCCATCAAGGGACAAAATGGTTACAGGCTAGGCTTGACAACTTGCTATCATGAGCAAAGGCCAGGGTGATAGAAAAAGACTTGCCACAGGTGCACAGGTCTCCTGAAGTGTGATTAGACTCATTTGGCATTTAGAAGGGGGCTTTTGCATTATTCCTATCGATAAACGAGTGTGGAACAATGTTCACAAGCCATGACTGCATGCTAAGCATGGGAATAGCATCCACAACATATTACAGGCAAATAACAAAATGCTCCATAGTTCTTGCATCGAGCTATTTACTACAGAGATAGGATATGGAGTCTGTGCAAGGAATATAATATCTGGATAAAGCAATCAAAAGACAAATATGGACTTCAGGAAATGGCAAAAAAGCTAAAAAAGTTTATGCAAAATAACTTTGCAAAGGGTCTTGTCACTGCACACGTGTTCATGTGCATCTGGCCAACGTACTGCACACCCAGCCAAGCAGCCACTTGGGTAACCCACTGCCATATTTTCAGTCATGTGATTGCTGTGACAACCAGATCCAACAGGTTAAGCAATTTCCACTGAAGCTATCAACTATGGATGTGCCTCACTACAAAAGAGGTCATACATGACACTTAACAAATGCCAGTGGCATACTGACAGTTACCACCTAAGGAATGTAACAAAATTGGCAAGAAATTGTGTCAGAATTATTAATATCAAACTCCCTGGATCCAGGTGACATGACTGCCATCATAAGAATTTTGCCTGAAGGCCAGGCTGACAATAACATGCTGGTATGAGAATTTTGACTAAAGTGTGACTAGACTGGCCATTTAGGAAGGGCTCTTGCATTATTTTGTGTACCATCCATGAGCCAAGGCACAGAGCACCAACACCAGGAAGGACACTTTATCCTTTCTCAGGATCCTATTCCTACTTGCCATGACAGGTGCGAAAATATAAAAAATGTTACTTTGTTATTACTATTACACAGATATATGTAGCCTGTGCAAGGAAAATAGTCTTATCTTCAAATAGCATATCATCCAATGACAGACATTGGGAAATGTCAATAAAGCAAAAAATGCTTATGGAGAAAGTGAGATAACATTACAAAGGAGAGGGCAAGGAGTCTTGGTACTACAAACAAATGTCCATGGATCAGGCCTGCAAGCCAAACACCCCAGGGAGAGTCATCACCCGGATAAGCCTAATACTCAGATTTTGGGCCACATGCGGGCAGCAAAGCACACGGATTCAATTAGTTAAGGGTGGGAAACTCAATTATAATAAATAGACATGTAAATAATTGTTGCATGTTGCACTTTGCATCCTGGTTATCATTTTACGATGACTGTCAATCACTTATAGGCTTTTATGTTGACCAAATATGAACAGCAGATTCTAATAAAATTTCTTTGTGGACTTTTCTTCTATATAACTGGAGTCCAGCAAGGATCAGTATTCTCTACAACTAACTAAACTGCCCCACACAAGTCTACCTTAAACTTACAAAGCAAAACTTACCGAACACTATATGCAGAATAAATTAATACAGAATGTTTTATTTTCCCATACAATCATTATCGACAAACATTTATAACACTTCAGACTAGAGAAATATTTAGAAAGATTCTATTTTTGAACAGAAAATTCAGCTTACCAGGCATATCAGTCTTCTGTTTCTCTTTTTTCTTCTTCTTTTCTTGAGTTGGTGTAGCCTTTCCTGTCGAGTTCAAACTTCCATCTACAACCTCAAAATTGTCTTCAACCTTAGGGCGGGTTACAGGTGTTACAACCTGCAAGTCAGAGCAACATATAAAATGTCCTAAGAAACTGTCAACCTACTTGCACTGGGTACAAGTTCTGTCCTCTTAAGAGTTTTGTACCCCCTGCCTCCCCACAAAAACAATTTCATAAATACTCAAGTTCACCAAGGAGTCAATTACTAGGCCTAACTGTCCTCACCTGTTTACCCCATTATATGAATTTTCAGGAAGAGTTAATTCCTAAAACAGTAAGCATATCCCTAAGATGACTGCTTTCTGTATAATGCAAATTTCTAAGAGATTCCAAATAGATGTACATTTTCTGGTGCAAATCAAGCCTCTGATGTGCCTACAAACAAAATTCCCTTAATTAAATCTGAAAAATCTGGTCTTCTCTAAAACAAGCTGGATAATTTGATGTTCTTCACAGTTAGTGTTAAAATTACCAACTATCAGGACAAGTCACCAATACTAATAGTAATAGATCTTTCCAATCAGTCAAGGAAAAAGGATCAACAAGAGATAGCACAGGTCTGGTAATGCACTCCTTGGTCACATGAATCAGCACTTATGGAGCAATCTGTGTAAATATAATCCAGAAAATTATATCAGCTGACATGGATAAACAAGCCTTTCTAGCATCAATGGGTTAAAAATGCAAAGAGTAATAGAAGTAATTACTTACTGAAATGATAAAATACTGGGAAAAAAGAAGTACAACTCACTTTTTCCTTCTTGTTTTCCTTTCCCTGAGGAGGAGGGGTGGATTCTGGAGCGGCCTTGGTCTTTGCAGCCTCTGTCTTGGCTGCCTCTGTCTTGGTTTCCTTGGCCTTGGTAATCTTTGCTGCTTCAGCTTTTCCTACATCAGTCTTTGCTGCCTTTCCTTTGGCTGGTTCAGCCTTGGCAGCTTCAGTCTTAGCAGTTTCAGTCTTGGCAGCCTCTGCCTTGGCAGCCTTTGACTTACCAGACTCAACTTTTGGGCTTTCAGCTTTAGCTTGGTCTGACTTGGATGCCTCTACCTTGGAAGTCTTTCCTTTAGTAGATTCCACCTTCACAGAATCAGCCTTCGGGCTTTCAGCCTTCGTCTGTGAGGACTTGGCTGCTTCTGGCTTAGAGGACTTCCCCCCCTTTGTGGCCTCTACTTTCACAGCCTCAGCCTTTGTCACAATGGTTTCAGTTACCTCCTCCACAACAATCTTACGAGGAGTTTCATCATCTTCCTTGTCTTTCTTCTTTTTCTTCTTCTTTTCCTATAATGATTGGAAAAAAAAATTGCATCAAGTTAGTGGATACTTAAAAAAAAAAAAAAACAATTTAAACATTTAGTGTATGAAGTCAGTAAAGGCTTACCCTACATAGTAGTAAATAGATACAAAAGTTCTAAGATATATTGAATGAAGCTCATTAACGATATAACCACAAGTCAATGAAATGGCAATCTCTGGACCTCAATTCTAGATCTGACTCGGCATCTTAATACTGGGATTGGTCAACCAAGAGGACCAGGAGCAATTTTCACAAAAGGTTTATAACTGTTCCTTGCGATTTAGTTTATAATTTGCACTGGTACGTCTCGTTGTTGATATACTAATAAGAACAAACATTCACATCGTTATAGGCCCTCTGCTAAAATTCTAATGTAATAACATGACCAGGTAAATATAGCAATAAATCTTACTTCTATCATGACAATAATACACATTTCATATATTAAGATGTGGCACCCTATATTAACAGTCACATGCTGCTATCTATGCTTTTCAACTATAATATTACAGTAAAAAGTAGGAACGGATTAATGAAAGTTTCACAATAAATTTAAAGGTACCTCCAAGTTTTCATTATTTCTAATGTGGAATAATCTTCAACAAAGAAAATATAGTATCAGTTATCTGCATCTCAAATCAAATGAAGTTTTCCTTATTTCCAGTGAATTATCTTCAATGTGTGAATCTGCATTTTAGTTTTAAAGATACCTTATCTTTTGTGGGACACTTTCACTGCTGTCTTAAAACTTGAGCCAAGACAAGAGAGTCCGATAAATTTGCCAAGTAAAAGATATGAAGATGGCCACATATCAGTTATAGGCCACATATCAGTTATAGACAAAGGTCACCTTCTTTACTATCCACAATGAATGGATCCACTGTATATTTACAGCAAAGCTCTATTTGAAAAAGAAATGGTACCATGCTCTTTCACAAATGATGCAACAAAAAAACATGGGTGCCACATTACACCACTAAATGAAATGTATATTATTAATACAAGAAAGAATGATTGAAGTATCCATTTTAAAGGTATAGCTACCTTCTACTAGTGTTATAGAATTTAAACCAAGGTAAATGTTCTAATTAGCAGCAATAGTTTCATCCCCTTAGTGATAGGTACAGCTATAGCTGTCATGACAATGATGCACGATATGTATACATGGCATGACTCACTCTAAGTGGTCCGACTGTACACAGCATACGCCCTGACAAAGGCTAGATTGTTGCATAATAATTACGTCTAAAAATTCTGGCCCCGTCATGATAGGGTTAAAATGTGGCATCAATACAAATACACAATCGCAAAGAATAGTCGGATCCTTTGTGGTTACTGCCCCAGGTTACTGCAGTAATGTAGTATAAACAATTGATGCAGTAATCTGCCCATAGTGCAATGGATATAAGCAGCTTGTGAGCATAGGTCATAAAAAGTAAACCAATATCTATCCTGGCGCTCTTTCTCTCTCTAACCATAGATATCAAACAGCATTCCTTCCAAGCAGGATTACAGAGATGAAAGGGGACAGCATGTCCAGCAATGATAATTGCATTCTCAGCTAAGTATGGCACATATAAGCCCTTTCATTACTAAGACATTTATGGCCCATCTGAGGCCTTTAATTTGATCTGTACAACTGATCGTTGGAAAAACTACAACAGTAAGTATGCATACACTACATTCTTTACCTACTTTGAAAAATTACAAATCCCAGATATACAAACAATGCACAAACAATTCCATCAATAGAGGCTCTTAAATTACAAGAATTCATAGTAAAACCTATCTTCATTCCCATTGTAAAGCCCAGTTTCTGAATACTACCCTAGCTTTCATTCGATTCTATGCTATAGTTTTTTTCCCTTCAAATGAGAAAAAATGGTCTATTCTCACCTGCTGGGGTTGGGGAGAAGCCTCGGGTTCTGTAGAAGGTGGTGTGGTGTCTGGTTCTGTAGCTATCTCCTCAACTTTTGTTGCTGATGCTGGTCCATTCTGCTCAAAGTCATCCTTCCTGGCCTTTGGCTTCTTTTGCTGAAAGGCAAGGAACAGTATATACTGGCTGCTTATGAAACCTAGATAAATATATCCAATTGAGCAGGGAGGGTGAACAAGGTAGAAAACTGGTGAGAAAGAAGGGGGAACAAGAAACAGAAGGGAAGAGGAAGCAGAAACTGGAAAGACAAGGATGAAGTAAAAGAAATAAATAGTGTGGGGTAAATAGTGTGACTTACTATTCTTAGCCATTGAAGAGCTAGAAAATGGGTTAAAACAGAGGGAAAGCTGATCTGAGTCAGGAGAATAAAATTAGAGAGAAGACTGGTTTCGAAAACCTCAATCTCAATATGTTAAAGTGTAGGGCACTAAAAGTTAATACATATCACGTTTATGGGACAGTTGGTTGTTGGGGGGAAATAAAAGCGCAATATGGAATCGGAAATGTGTTAGTGCTATTATGTGAAAGGTGTCCGTTTTGTTTGCGTGTACAATGTGTTGTGGGAGTCTGATCCTATCACAAATGGTGCTTGGAAAATAGGAGTTTGAAGGAGTCGGTACTGGTGTGATATGTCACGTATTTCCAGTTGTGGTCGTTTCGTGTATTAATTATGTTTACATGGAGTTGTTATTCTTGTTTATGTCAATTTGGTTGTTTGTGATTTTCTACATAATCATTGGTCTGTGTGCTTGTCTGTGTATTCAGAGGGCTTCCATACGTAAATGTTGTTTGATTCATGTCGTGATGCCAGGAATGAACTTTTTCTAGTTTATTGAGTGTGTGTGTGTGTGTGTGTGTGTGTGTGTGTGTGTGTGTGTGTGTGTGTGTGTGTGTGTGTGTGTGTGTGTGTGTGTGTGTGTGTGTGTGTGTCTCCTACACAGCTGCATAACATTCTAGTGTTGGAATGACAATAGTATTATAAACTACATGTTTAATGTCATGAGTTCAACTGTAGGTTCCTCCTCAGGAAATTCCGTGTTCTATTGGCTTTATGTCGCATGTTGTCTGTGTATTAAATTTCATGTTGGCATGGAGTGTGATACCAATGTATTTGTGTGGTGTGTTGGGTAGTAGTTGCAAGTGGATTGTGATTCCAAACGGGTGAAGTTTAAGGTTTTGTATTTATCGGGCTGGAAATCCATTTGCCATGTGGCTTACCACATGGTAAATATAAAAAATAAGGAAAACTAGCAAAATGATGACTGTAGTGTGGGTAAAAGTTAACAACTTGAGTGAAAACTAAAATAAAAGATAAGGGGTTTTCCAGCTTTTTTACAATTTTGGCTCTGGCACAGAAATTTTCAAGACTGAAATAAGCTTCAGTCTACTTGGAAAGGCTGTACCTTTTTAAATGACATACCAGGCCAAATATTCCTGAGAAAATTAAAGAATAAATAAAGTTAATGTATATGTTACATGTCATACGGTAGATGTATATTGAATATTTTTTTAACCTATTTATAATCAAAAGTTATAAAATTCAAGTTTCAAAGTAAACAATGTGCAATGCAGCACTCAGCTTTAGGCAAAGAACTTTATCATTATTTGCTATTTGTTCTCTGTAATGCCTGCTGCCTTCATCAAACTTCTACCAAATACATGCACTGTTCACTTAGGTTTCACTGTATTGATAGATGGTTTCATACAAGGACTCAGGCACTAAGAGGTCAAGTACATTATGTACTTCACTTCACCTCACCTATTTCAGGGGAATGCTTGTAAAAATCCAACAGGTTTCCAGTTGTCCATCCTTAAAAAAAATATTGATGCTACTTTTGTTTCAACAAATTGCAGCTCATAATTGCAACTTTTTAGAGCTATAGTTCTTTTGAGTTATCCCTCAAGAAAAGAAAATATATGAAAACTCCTAATCTTTGCCCTAGACTCATATTCAAGAGAAAATTGATTCCATTAGCTTGCCAAACTACTTATTTTTCTATACTGAAGTATGCTTCAATATGCTTAGTCTGGTAGATAATTATCATTCTCCTGTATGGCATGCTTCAAAAAAGTTTGACATTTCTCCCTTATGCACAAACAAGCAGACATGCAAATACTAGGAAATAAAGATACACCTGTCTGTCTGATAAATATATATTTATCTATCTATCCAGTAGATATGCAATGTCTAGACTCAGACGTATTTTTTCTTGTATATGTGCATGCCTGTATAATCATTGTTCTTCAGACCTCACACAATTTTAACAAACTGACGATGGATTCACTAACATAAGATCGTAACACATTTACCAGCAGTCATTTATCATTGCGTTTACCAGTGATGGCAATGCAGGATTCATGAAGAAATGTTAATTTGGATATGCTACATTACAATTGTACAGAGGGATCTAGTAAATCAATTCAAACAATCAGCAAGCGCTATACATAATCTTATACCTTCCTTCAGCCAATCACGTAACAAGTAAGATCTAGAAACAGCAAGATTGTATAAATAATCGTCACAGATAAAAGCACTATTTAAGCACATGTAGAAAAAAAAAAAATTATTTGATTATATCCATCATGTTGGATATATAATTACTGTATAGATAGGAACTAATATAAACACCTATATCAATATATTATTGTTTACCTCAAACCGAAGAGACAGTCCAAAAAAATTTTTTATTATATATCTCATCACTTAAAGAACCGGACCAAATAAAATTTTTATTCATGCCCTTTGCTGTCAAAGTAAATATTTCAAGCTTATTCTTGCCCATGCGCTTTGGAGTTTGTCAAAATGCCGCCAGACACAGATATTGCTATACTCTTTTAGCATTGGTATTGCCAGTTTACATATCAGCAAGGTAACTTTTTCTATACCATTTATAATAATTATGTCAGAGAAGTAATCTTTAATCCACTAACGACATGTCCTACATATGAGACACCCAAACAAATAAACATTGCCGGGCGTCCCACCAGTGTGACGCTGGTCCGGGCAGCCCCGCCCGCCGATTTTGTAGCCGCCCAGAATCTTTTATTTTCGGCTTCAAAATATACCGGAGTTAATGGGTTCAGAGTTCTTGTTTATCAGTACCATGCATTCTAGTATAATGTAGGCCTAGAATTTTACGAGACTCGTGTTTTTCTTTCTTGCTAGTTTATGAAATTTGCATTTCTTCACTATCCGCACTATGATATCTGTTTGTCATCATATTAGTTACAGCATGTGTAAAAACAAATCGAAAACTTTGCTTAGATATTGATTTTTTGACGAGACAAATGTGATGACATCGTCTTCCCAGTAGTTATCAGTGCTCTGACCACTGGTAAATTTACCATGGTAACTCCGATGGCAAGTTGTTAATGAATACCACCGCTGTGTTTAACATGATAACTATAGTTACCAGTGATTTTAGCATCGTAAGTGCATTAGTGAATCCAGACCCTAGCCTCTAGTTTACACTTTAGTTCAAGGCTGTATAATTTTCTTTTATCAATTATACCTCTCCACAGGACAATAACCCAGTGACCTGAATTTTTTTTTTTTTTTTTATACAGGGATAGTAGCTTTTTTAAAATCTAAATGTTTTTGCTTAATATAAGAAATAACAATTCACACAATTATATGCATGCTGTATATAATGGGGCGAAAATTAGTATTCAAAAGCAGTAAGCACTTCCCAGCTTTCAAATGCTCAGAGGAATAAAATTAGCTATCTACAAAACATTAAAAGACCAAGCTACTGATCATCTTCAGAGCCAAAAAAGAATGAGAATATTGTGTCAATGGCAAACTGTAGTGGGTTAATTTTGGTCAACATCATTTTTAATAAATATTAAATTTTAATAAATATTCTGTGATCAAATTAAAAGATAAGAAAATGTATGCCTACTTACTACTCATGGAAAAAGCTGAACAAAAAGATATATTCAAATATTCTATTAAAAAAAAAAAAATGTACATTATATATATATATATATATATATATTATATATATATATATATATATATATATTATATATTTTATATATATATAATGTACATTTTTTTTTTTTAATAAAAAAAAACTCATGCAAAAAATTAAGGTAGATAAGATTAGTATTATGCCCTTCACAACTATAGATAACAATGAGAAGGATATGGTAGCTCTGCTGCCAAACACTTATCCAATTACATTAACAGGAAAGGGGAAAAACAAGTGCAGCATACATTCAGATTCACAAACAAGCTTTTTTTTGTAGCTGTCTCAAAAAACAAGTAAAAATATCTACCTTTACTGAAACCATAAATATTTTCTACACACCTTGGTATTTTTGTACTTTTGTTGCCTGTCACTCTTTGCTAGTGCAATCTGTTCCTGTTCCTGCTTCTGACGTTGTTCAGCAAGAGCTTCTTCATAAGGGGTTTCTTTTGTGCCCAAAGTGGCGAGTAAATACACCACAACTGTCAACACCACCACAACAGCACCAAGCACCAGTACATCCATGGTCAGCAGCACTGAAACAAGTAAGATTAACTTTTATTAAACAATAATAAAATGAGACAGACCAAGAGATTACAGATTAGGGATAGGCATTTTCCGAGATTCTTTCATCACTTTAAAACAATGTAGAAAAGACAAGAGTAACAAAAAAAAATAAATAAATAAATAAAATACTGCTAATTTTCTACTAATATGCAATAAAGAGTGGAAGTCCAGCTCTGCTCCTAATACCCTTCATCCCAAAACGGGTAAGCTGCAATGGGGATAAACCCAGTATGATAGACCCTTATCCAAGGTCAACCACTTGGCTAGTCATCACTATGGTTATGCCGGTGGATTCTCTTTAAATTCAAACCCTGCTGCCTACCTTTAACAAAATGCTAAATTCTACATCTGACTAAAAATTTTACCTTGAAAAGTAAAATGCTATTGCTGCAATACTTGGATCTTAGAATCTGCTTCTTCAGGTTGATAGAATTTTTCTTAGTTTTCAAGTGCACAAACTATCTTGCAGGAAGTATATTCATTACTAATAAAAAATGGTACAAATTATAATTCTAAGTGCTTGCTGCCTTTGAACTAGTGATTTTTTTTATCTTTTCTTTTTTCTTTTTACTAACTGCAGCTCTGGATTCCACACCTATTCTCAACATTATTGCTTTCCTATTGGGAATGACAACAAAGATTGCATGTTTGACAGTAAAACTGCTTAAATAAGCAATTTTAAATGAAGAATACAAACTTTTTTTTTCTACTATAATCATCCACAGTTAACTTAGCATTTTTAAAACCATGATGATGCCCAAAATCCAACTCATCTATGACTAAAATCCCTTTTAATGTAAATGATGTATATCACTCATAACATTTCACAGAGTCTGTATTCATCTTCAATGAAACAGTAAACAAGATATCAATTCAGTTTTATTTCAATCTAAAAGTATTTTGTTCATTTTAAGAAAAAATTAAAAACAAAAAATTGGATATTTGAAGTTGTTATAATTTTTTTTTTTTTTATGAATCTTTACCACCATCTTTTAAACGACCTTTGTTCATTATGATCATTAGTCCGAGTTATAGAAACAAACTAGCAACTCCTGTGGAAAAAGTGCAAATCCAGACCCAAGACAACAACATGAGGTTACATAAAAGCCTTAGTTTCTCATTTAAGACCTCTTTTATTAAATTTTTCTTGAGCGCACATTCACTTAAATGCACATACACATATGAATTAATGTGTACGCATGCGTATGCGTATATGCCCATGTACCCATTAGATCCGTAATGATTTATTTTATTTCATTTTTATTCCAGTCTACTCTTGTTTCATGATGTGAATCCACCTCAAAACAAGTGGACAACATTTAGTCACAAGCAGAGTACTTGTTATGGAAATCAGAGTTGCTTTTGTTTGTTAGAAATAACTTCAGAAAACACTGATATTATCAAAAATACTTTGAAAAACAAGTCACTTGTATTTGTCGTGGACACTTCGTCTTGTGATGTAACAATAGGTATCAAATACTTATAGTCCTATATTATATAGTTTTAAAAAATAAATCATACACCATCTTTACATTTACTTTTATGTAAAATGGATTTACAATGAGGAAATTATGTTTAATTGATTATTTAGCTTAAAATGTGAGAGCAAATGTAAAACTATTGCAATCCGAAAAGTTTATCGTGGGGGGTGACACTTGGAACTGTCAGCTGGGTCTCTCCAAGACGGCAGTTGACATGGGTGTGTAAATAACTATTCGTTGCAAGTTTATTTTTTAGAGATATAGATGTAACTGCTCAAGCCCTAAACATACTTATATGTTTAATATGTCAAAATCGAATCATATCCACTTCATTTTATGAGAAAGAAATTTAGTCACGTGAGTTCTTTTCTTAGTTTTTTCATATCAAATCTTTCATTTTGGAATGAAACCGTATAATTACACATTACCCTCCCGAGATCCATTTCAGTAGGTAATGTCATAATACAATGCATCGTTATTCACTCCCGTAAAGCGGGAATGCAGAAGGGTGAAAATCACTGACACTGGCATGAAGATTTGGGGTTCTCACTTCGCAGGCTGCCAAAATTTTTCAATATGGGAGTTTATATTCTAGGTAATTCTACAACTCATACATGTATGAAACTGATTATAGCTCAATACCGAAGCAGAAGTAATTGACCCAAAATCCTCCCCACCCCTAGGGACGATCCCTTTAAGATTATTAATGCCACACCGCAAAAATGTTAAGAATACAGACAATATATGGTGGTGACGAAATCCGACATGTTTGAAAATCTGGCCCCAGGGGGGGGGGGGGGTCCCTGGGGACAGCCTCCTGCATTAGATATAGTATGCACAGTATCCTATTTCACCATGCATGTCAGTCCTGCCATAAATACGTGGAGGATTCTTTGTATTCCAGGGAGGTGTTAGGAGGGGCAGCACCTTCAGATATTATAGTGGCCCTCATCTCGTATGCTATTCAGCTCATTTGCCACATCTTACCTTGCAATTGGTATCCAACTTCCCCCCCCCCCCTCCCACTACTACCAGAGCAAAGTTTGTGGGGTATAGGAGGGATTTTCTGCCAGACAATTTCTAAATAAACAAGTATTGAAATGTCATGATCAGGTTGGCATAGTTATTTTTAACAATTACCAATACATTTGATAACACTTGGATATTAACCCACTTGTATGCGACATCCGGAATAATAAAAATAGCCGGCTGTCCCACCAGTGCAATACTAGATCAGAGCTTGTGATCTCATTTTATCGCCCGTGGTGCCCCAATTTTGATCCTGCCCAGAAGCCAGGATTATCAGCTTCCAAATGGACCAAATGCAAACCACCTTGCAAAGGATAAACCATTTTTTCAACATAGATATATAAATATTTAGAATATCATGCACCCCATCATAACAAAACTTGTGCTGATGTGTTCCTCTCGCCCCTAATATATAAATCATGCCATATATATAATATATATAATATATATAATATATATAATATATATAATATATATAATATATATAATATATATAATATATATAATATATAAATCATGTTATGGAATCCCTCCCAATACATAATAAAGTTGGCCGCAATAGGAGGGGAGGTCATGAAAGTTACTATAAAGGTTGCAAGTTGAAATACGAAAAACTTTATGAAAGTCAGTTAATATTCTGTGGTAAGATAAAATACATATACAAGATGTGTCACAACAATATCCAATACAGGCAGCTGCCATCTCCAATCCCAGTCCTCTACATATTTATGGCAGGATGGAGAATGACCAATCACTGAGCCACAAAATACTAAATTGTATTAACAAGGTCTTCTTTCTTTTATATCTTTAGGAAAGGATTGAAGTTCTGGAATACAACCAAGATAGATTATACAAAGAAAAATACTGGAAAATGAATCCATGAGAGACTGAAAAGAGGTGGGGTAAACTTGCTGGATCTTACTATTGTAAGAAATATTTAATGCAAATCTTCTGATTATCTTGTACAATATTTACAATCTTGGTACATTTCTTGCTTTTAATTGTTGATGAAAGCAGTATTTCTGACTTATGTTCCAGGAGCCGGATTCTCAAAAGAGCCTTCAAGTTATGGCGCACTAGAGGCCTTAACCGTCCTGTGCCAATGCAAGTTACAGCCCATCTAGAGTTCCGTATCTCGGACTTAACTTCATATATACAAACATTTTTTAAGGCGCCTTATCCCTGCCTTAAATCCCACAGCACCATAAATCACATAAGGTGTTGGATCTTCAGTGGCCAATTGCAGCTGCTGTTTCAGGCAGCTCTTAGGGAATCTTGACCAATCACAGGCCGTAAATGCCAATCAGAAGATTTTGTAAACATTGTGTCCAGCCTGAGGCATGATAAAACTAATAAAGAGGAGTTAAGAATGTAAATACTGAAATTAACAATAACAATTAGGAATATATGAATAAAACTATTACATCCAAGGCAAAGTCAGCACTGTTTACAAATATAACACCTAACCTAACCAATCGGGAAAAGCAAATAAGAGTTATATTGGAATATTACACAAGTGAGACACCCGGAAAAATATAGCCGGCTGTTCCACCGGTGCAGCACTAGATCGGAGTTTGAGCTCTGATTTCATCTCCTGTGGCAGGCAGCACGTGGGCAGGTTCCCGGACTGGCCCCCACACAGATTCTGATACCGTCCAGAAACCGGGATTATCGGCTTCCAAATAGACTGTCACTAGTGGGTTAATATGTTTAATCACGTACGTACATGCCATTATCATGCCATGCCAAACGGAGGATAGTACCCAATGGCATTGGTGACGGTTGGGTGCTAAATGTCGGGGATTGAGGGTGTTTAAGGCGGTGGCGCAAACTTCGGCGGGGGGGATAAATAGGTACTTGGGGATTGGTGTGTGGGTAAACTTTTTTTTAATGTTTTTGATCAAAAGGTGGGAGGATGAGGGGCTGTGAAGCTTCATTTTTCTTCGGATTGGAATGCAACATGGGAAAAAGGAACCAAGGCCTGCGGGGGAAAATCAGAGCTTCTTCGGATTATATGAAAAATTACCTGCATACTACTTCAAACCAAACACTTCAACTCTCTCAAGAGCTTCTGCCATATTTCATAGGTACATATGGAGACCACAATAGAGATCACAACAGATCTTGTTCATTACACTTGGGCAGTAATAAATGCATACTGACTAATGTACTTCACTTTAGCTCACATTACATTTATCAGTATATTACCACAGTGCATAGAAAGCTCCTGCCATACTTCATATTGACTAAAAGTGAGGATATAGGATAGTAGCAACTATTCAAGACCACAAATGCCTTTGAGGCACTACCATCTCCCTACATAATTCTAAGGTGTATTTGGTTTGACTGTCAAATTCCAAATCTAGAAAACATCGCTCTTCCATCCACAAGGGACACTTGTTGCTAGTTAACATATGAACTCAGGAGTCATCAAGCGTAATAATAAACTTTGTAGCAAT